GATGATGATTATTTTTGAGAGAGAAGGGGGGGGGAGAGACAGGAAGAATAAGAGTAAGAGGTGAGGAAGTGAAAATAGAGATCGTGCGTGCGTGCGTGCGTGCGTGCGTGCGTGCGTGCGTGCGTGTGTGTGTGTTTGTATGTGTGCATCCATGCATGCATGTATGTTGTGCTGTGTATTGTGTTGCCGTTTCAGTACAAGATAGGATGACAGTGAGCGTTAAGTGTACAGGTATTGATCAGAACATGGTGGATATCTGTCCGTGGTAAAAATGGGTAATCAGTGAGACTGTATGCACTGCTGCTAATCTTAATGACTGTATTCATCGGGTGTTATAGGCATGTATGCGTGTAGCGCGCACCCTCTTATAACCAGCGTGCCCAGTTCATTCCACATATCGTGCACAAGTGCTCTGCAAATGTATTGATTGTGCATCTCGGATAATGGTGCCGCGTGAATACTTCATTGCAGAGAAGTTGTCAACCAGTAGTATTACTGTGTGTAATAATAATAATGATAATGTTGCCCATTTAGCTATTTTGCAACGGCAGCATAGCAAACATTGCAGCTCGCATTTAGATTGGATGCAGTGAACCATCATATTGGCAGATCAATCTCTGAGTTACATATTTTAAATTTTCGTCACCTTCTTCTGTAAATTCACGCTGGATTATTAATAGCATAAAATCCTTAATGGAACGTGGATCCCCTACCACTGGGAGTCTACACTATCATAACATTTTACACATATCGCAAACTCTAAGCCATAGAGTTAAACTGTGTACCAATGAATGGAATACCTCTACTATCACGGGGTTAAGTTCCTAGAAAATGTAGCATTTTTTTCAAATCATGAATGATTTATATAATGTTGAATGGGAAGCATTTAATTTTTGCAAAATTTCGCTATTGACAAGTTTGGGATGGGGAGGGGAAGGTTACTGTATAACATGGACCAACTACAAGTTTGCAGCTTTTTACTGTACCAGCATTTGTGAATTCTTTTATAACTTGTTAAGGGTTGCGAAAAAATCGGTGGCATACGTTCATATTTCTGATGCAGTCTATGCTCTCTCCAGTCACTAATAGTCTTTCAGCACTAAGTGTTACTTATGTTACTCCTGCTCCTGACATGTCTTACTTACCAAGCAAATCTTGATTACACATTTTATTAATGCATATATTTTTCAGTGACAGTGAACACAGTCTGTGTATTTTCGTGTGCCATTGACTTCACATCTATTCTATTTCAGTCAATAATCTGCCTAATTGCAGTAGTAAAGATTATAATCATGATTGCTTGACAGATCTTCATCCGTAACATTCACATCCGGTATGAGGACACTGTCACTGAGCGTAAGAGTCCCTTGGCAGTGGGAATCACGCTCCACAATCTTTCGGCTGAGACGACAAACTCCAAGTGGAAGATCACGCAGATCGAATCAGAGGCGACGTCCATCTATAAGGTCAGTGGTGAACACGTAGTGTACAGTCAGTCATGTTGGTGTAGGGCTCCATCAATAAAGTCAATCATGTTGATTTAGTCCTACATCTGTAATGTCGCTTATATTAATCTGGTCCTTTATCTTTAATGTCAGCCATGTTTATGTAGTCCTTTATCTTGAAAGTCAGTGATATTGATGTGTTCCTCTTTCTTTACCCGCAGCCATGTTTATGTAGTTCTTATCTATAAAGTCGGTGGTATTGACATGGTTATTTATTTATGAAGTCAACCGTGCTTATTGTAGACCTTCATCTATAATTTCAGTTATGTTTGTGTAGTCCTCCATTTATAAAGTCAGTCATGTTTGTAACTTTCTTTATCTATAATACCAGTCATGTTTATGTGACAAAAATTTATCAGCCATTGCCTGTAGCACATCTTAGATTCTTGGTATGATCTAGCCGAGATGGGGAGAAGGGGTGGCATATAGATATATATCTTCACACCACAGCATGCAAAAGTTGTTACCCTGCAAGAATGGCTGTGATTCACTCTTTCTCAACAAACGATTTTTTAGGCTAAAAAACCTGGTCAGTAATTGGCATGGCGAGCACTTGTCGTGATGCTTCCGGAATGCACGAATGCCAGCAGTAGGGAGTGAATGGCAGCTTCCTTGCTGGGGATCCTGTAGAATCCTGATTTATTGTTACGATAAAACATTGATCTTCCTCTGTAGATAAAACATGATCAAATTCTTCAAGTTCTCAGTAAACATTACGATAAATCTTAAGGGAATTCAATAAAGAGGGTATGGGTGTGTGCAGTACTAGCAGGAAATTACATGTGTTTCCTTTCAAAAATATTGCATGGAGTACATGCAGAGTATACTGTGTGTAACCATATTCGTCACTAAGTGTCAACGAAATTAGTTGCCTTCTTATTTAACCAGACTGGTTTGCGTAGCCAGCAGTGACACTCGGCCATGATTGTTGTATACTGCACATGCTTCTTCGCAGTTCCTATACTATGTGTATACGTAGCCTTCAAGACTTGAACTTCTGTAGCCAGAGTAATACGTGCTGCATCCTAAGAGTGCTACGCGGTGAACTTTCCACACGTCCACGGCAGCCACATCTTCTGCGATATCTCGCTGCAGATTTTAAAGCTGGAAGAGCTGACGATGTACTGGATGCCGCTGGTCGCACACGACCAGCTGCTCTCTACTGTCACTGACGTCACCTACTGGAGGGAGCTCATGCGCCAGTCCCTCGTCACCCACGCCTTTGAAGGGGAGAAATTTGATTTCGGTAGGCACGCATCGCGGGCGCGTAACATATGGAGCTCCCCATCAGGAGCTCGATAAACTTCCTAGTCCCAGATGCACAAAGGGCCTATGCCAATGCAATGCCAATGCAATGCCAATGCCAATGCCAATGCCAATGCCAATGCCAATGCCAATGCCAATGCCAATGCCAATGCCAATGCCAATGCCAATGCCAATGCCAATGCTCATTGAGAGTAGATCAAACTAGAGATTGGACACCGTTATCTGAGCAAGCTGTTGACATCTGTCGGCATACCTTAACGTCTAGACATGCACGAGTGAGAGCTGTACGCATGAACACACGGATAGAATGTGGCAGTGCTTGTCACAGAGGTGGTAAGGTTTCAAGCGCCGCCGTATTTAAGTAATGACGCAGCATGTAGCGTCGACGGTGAATAGCTGTAGCAGGACCTCGAAGCATGATCGAGCGTCGATGGCTTCCTCATGTGTTGTCTCTCCTACAGTGCTGAAGCCACTCTCAGCCGTCGCTAAAGTGATCATGAACAAGAGTGAGGACACCAACGTTCCGAAGCTACTCGTAGATTTCGTCGTGCCCGACATGTCTTTGTCGATCGGGCGGCAACAGGTGAGGTGATGCTGTTGTTGTATCGAATGCCGCTATTGTGAAAACTGTATTGCGCTGCAGGGATAATACCGTGAGGATTATAAGATGATGTGAAATGTCAGCAGGTTCGTGTTTTTTCTCTCTCTCTCCCTGCAGTTCCTGTCACTGGTGAGTGTCTTGGAATCGTTCCAAATGATCGAAGTCAACCGACAGTTTAGACAGTATCGGCCAAACGTACCTCCACCTCATAACTCTGCAAAGTGGTGGCACTACGCCTACAACAGCATAGTCAACGAGTATATCAGGCCGTACAGCTGGGAACGAATACGCCAACATCGGTGTGTAGCTGATATCTTGGGTAACTTAAACTAGCAATGTTGTTGTTTTGTTGCTCTCACATTGTGGGAGTAGCAGTTGCTCTTTTCATTATCTTTTTAAACTATAGTTTAATGGCAGTCGTATTAGAACATAAGCGTAGTAGTGATAACCAACATTTTTACAGCATGCTCACTACGCATGCACATGGTAAAATCTATTGTCATCAGTTCTTGACAGATAACTTTGAGCTGTTATCCATACGTGTTGTATGTTTAGTAATGAGTTTCACAGTGTATTATGTTCTGTCTCTCAGAAATGTGCTTTTGGGTTGTTGAGTGATGTGTTTATAAACTATGCTCCTACAAGGTCTGTGCCATACCTGAAGAATGTTCTCTCATGGTGTCAGGACGTGTATACAAAATGTGTTTTCAAGGTGTCTACGCTGTATGTGCTCTCATGACGTTTTCACCATACTTTAATGAAACGTGCTCTAATGTTGTTGCGACGTAAGCATTCGTAACAGGTGCTCTTGAGACGTCCCTGCCACGAATACGCAAGCAGCCTTCATGCGACGTTTGTACTGTGCTTGCAGAAAACTTTCTTTCAGTGTTGCGATGTACCACCAAGTAATAAGTAGTCTGTGCTGTGCTTGCAGTGTACGTGCATGTTCAAGTTGCCGCGATGTGCGCATGCGTAACGTGCTCACGTCTGTGCTCTACGTACAGGGCACGCTACCGGCAGTACAAGGAGCTGTACAAGCAGCGGCTGCACCGCCTCAAGGACACCGAGCTGCTTGTCGACCTGCAGCGGCAAGAGGACCAGCTCGACGTGCCCAACATCCTGATGGCGCGTGAGCAGGCCAAGCTTGAGATGAGCCGCACCTCGCCGCATCGTGTCCGCCGCGTCCCGCCGAAGCCCGCCGCGTCGTCCTGGTTCGGAGGAGGAGCCGAGGAGGAGGAGGAGGAGGAGGGGGAGGGAGGGGAGGTGTATGTTCCGGCCGAGGTCGAGTCGGCCGCGCTCTGGTCGAAGCTGTCGCCGGAGGAGAAGCAGGTGCTGTGCACGGCGATCGGCTACGCGGGCGACTGCGACGCGGCGGCGGCAGTGCGTGGCGCGCGGCCCGCGCAGTACATCGAGCACAAGGTGAACCTGACCGTCGCGAACTGCACGGTGGCGCTGCTCAACCGCGGCAAGGACATCCTCGTGCTCTCCTGGTGCAACCTGCTGTGCAGCCTCGAGAACCGGCCGGCGGCCGACGCCTACCGCATCTCGGCGAGGACGGAGAGCTTCCTGGTAGAGGGCGCTTCAATCGAGCACGACCTGGTGCCGGTGCTGACCGCTGACAACACGGTGGGCACCAAGGGTAAGCATCGAACGCGCTTCGCGATGAGGAATTCCGGCACGCGTTTTAACGTTCGAGTCGGATTTATAGGAAGCATGGGAATACTTTACAATCAAACCTCGGTTATCCGAACATCAATTATCCAAATTTCGGATTATTCGAACAAGATCTCAAGGTACCGTGAATATTTAATGGTAATACGATCAGATTAGTTATCCGAACATTCAGTTATCCGAACAAAATACTCCCCGCCCGTCTCGTTCGGATGATCGAGGTTTAACTGTACCTTGTTTTGGTGCATATAGGTTCTAACCAAATAGGAATTTAGTGTATATTTTTGTTAGCCTACAATGAAGTTCGGTGCACTAGAGTTTCATGAGTTGTATTTGTAACGGCATGCGTTGGAATCGGGTTTATAGGACGTGTGGGAATACTTTACCTGGTTTTGCTGGATATAGGTTCAAACCAAATAGGAATATAGTGTAAATTTTTGTTAGCCTACAATGAAATTCGGTGCACTAGAATGTCATGAGTTATATTTGTGTTTTGGTAATACTATGAACAATCTATTTTATCACATTATCTAGGAAACAGAGCACCACACGTGTTTTCTCTGGACCTTGAGGCTAAGCCCACTCACGTGCAGGCCGATTTCGCTGTCAGTCTGCTTTTGGAACCAGTGGAACTTGTCTATCACGAGGTATGTGGCCTCTAGTCTCCACCCAGTAAAAAAACAAAACTTTAAGAAACGAAGTGTGATTTGACGAGCTTTGCGCGTCGCCCGTATGACAGTCTGAGATGGTTTACGAAAGTTGCATCGCGTCGTCTCTCTGTCGTGTTGCATTACATCTTACCTCTCTGTCGTGTTGCATTGTGTCACCTCTCTGTCATGTCGCATCACATCTTGCCTCTCTGTCGTGTTGCATTGTGTCACCTCTCTGTCATGTTGCATTGTGTCACCTCTCTGTCATGTTGCATCACATCTTGCCTCTCTGTCGTGTTGCATTGTGTCACCTCTCTGTCATGTCGCATCACATCTTGCCTCTCTGTCGTGTTGCATTGTGTCACTTCTCTGTCATGTTGCATTGTCACCTCTCTGTGATGTTGCATTGTGTCCCCTCTCTGTCATGTTGCATTGTGTCACCTATCTGTCATGTCGCATCACATCTTACCTCTCTGTCATGTTGCATTGTGTTTCCTCTCTGCCATGTTGTATCATGCCTTTCCTCTTTGTTGTGTTGCAGCACGCGATGTCAGAGCTTGTTGGCTTCCTGCAGCTGCCAACGCTCGCGCTGTCGGAGGTCAGAGAGACGGCTGCAGGCATCGCTAAAGAGGCTGTCCACTACACGAAGGCGGGACTGCTCTATGCAATCGAGACTCACAAGGTGCGTAGTAGACGAACCCGCACAAGCACGCTCTCACTGTGCCTGCAGTGGGTGACAGTCGGTGGTGGAAGACGTGCTCATCCGAAGTAATTTCCTGACAGATTCCATATACATTAGGTACTAATTACCACGCCCGTGTCAGGTGACCGCTTTTGTCTTGTTCTGATTTTTTTGGCAAATTCTCTACCTTTGTCCCTAAAGTGCGCTTTTTAGTACGCTATTAGTGCAATTATCCTGTAACTTGAACTCTGTTCATCGCAGTCGCTTTACTTCTAATTAATGGCTGCTTTTATGAGGTGTTGTATATCTTTTGTGTCAGATGACTTCGTAAAAATGTTTATGCTTTCGTTAAATCTGGTCTGTACACTGCATAATTAAAACTACTCTTTTGTAGTATGTATAAAAACATTTCTGTTATTAGCTTGGCTGTCCAGTATCTGTAGAGTTTAGACTGAGAGAGAATTAAGGTTCATGCGGTTACGATACAAACCCGGTGTTTATACCAAGAAGCGTGTTTAAAACAAAGTGTAAAATTGTAGCTATACTAGCTTGTTATTATTTAGTGGGATGATATTGAAAAAAGCTGTTAACTCATTTATTATATATGAGAGCATGAGATAAAAAGCATGTAAGACTAGGGAAAAAGGTTGTGACATGTTAGAGTTGGGTAGTAATGCAAATCAGTGTACAGTGTATGAAATTAATGGCTGTTTGACGAATGAGTAATTATTAATGTCGAACAACAGCACTTCCTATCGCAGCAACATATGCCGCATTAATGATCCAGGTAAATAAAGAGGGGGGAAATGTCAGTGGTTCTATCGAAATCATAGAAGTCGTCATTTGTGGACGTATCCCAGCCATAGATGTGTCAGCATATATATGGATGCCATTTGAAAGTGCCCCTATCTACTTTTCAGACTGTGCACTTTTCTGTGGACATCAAGTCTCCGTATTTGGTGATTCCAGAGTATGGAACATTGCAGAGGTAGGTGCAGCCAACGTGGCCAACGTCTTCTAGTTAAAGTGCACTCAGTGTGGTGCGTACCATCATATACAAATAATAAACATAAAGTGCATAGTATTTGTTAAACTGAGCAGATAACGTCGTAAGTAATTTAATATAAGTAGCCTGTCCTATTGGCTGCCTCTAGGCAGGCATGTAAGAAAGTAAGAATGATCAATATGCTGCCTCAGGCATAGTGCGATCAATACATCGTTTCGACAAGTGTACCCTAAAAACGTTGTTCTTAGGTAAAGAGTGAAATGTGAAACAGTACAATACCTCTGCTACTGTATTAAGCCATCTATTTCATTTATACCGTAAGTCTATATATGTGGGATGTGAGCCAAAAAGGTTGAGTTGATGGCGAAAGAGACCATGAAGTAGATAGAGGAGGAAGGAGGCGAGATTAGGGAAAGAGAAAGTGGGTGAGGAAAATAAGGAAAGGGAGAAACAGTGTGAGGGATATAGAGCGATGGAGCTCTATGGGCGAAAGAAGCGGGAAATGAGAGAGTGAGAGAGAGGGGGGCAGAAGATGAATAGAAAGTGCGAACGCGAGAGAAGAGGGAGAGGGAGATTATGACTGCCACCGAGTTACAGTATACTCTCGCTGTGAGTAGGTTTGGGTCTATAACACATCTGCGCTGCTGTTGGGTGTGCATTACTCCTAATCAATATTCAGCATACGACTAAGCGTTGAGCCTGTGTGAGAGTGTAACGTGGAAGCTTTCCCTAAGAGGCACAAATGTGGTGTCGGCATTAGATAAATGATAAATGAAATGGGCATGCTTGTGTAGAAAATGTCATATATGCAAGCACGAAGAGGCCATGCAGCTCGTAACACCTGGAGAATGTTTCCGTGCAAGAGACGGCTTGCTTGTGGTATTATGTTGCAATTCTTTGCCATTATTGGATTGTGAAATAATGAAAGTCCACGTGTAATTGAACGAAAGTGCTGTTAAAGACTATATCATGAGCGTATTAATACCCCTGTCACGCCTTCACGCGATCACGCTCGCGCTCCCACTGCGACCTGAAAAGTATGAAAGCGCGAGGATAAGCGCAGTAAGGTCTCTGAGAACGAGTTGGTGACGCAGTGGAAACTGTCAAGGACGGAAGAGGGTCGCCATGAGCTATCTTAAGCGCCAAACCTTGGCGCTTGTGTTGGTCCGAATCAAAACAAGCGCAGCGGGTCGGCGCTCTGTAATGAGCGGTGTAATGACGCAGTACAGTCGCCGTGGTAGCGCAAAGCGAACTACATGAGCGTATCGTGGACGTAGCAACAACGCATAGAAGCGACTTGGGGTCGCAGAAATCGTCCCCTGCGACTGGTTTGCGACTGCTGTATGCTCATTGGGCTCTCCATGCGTGCCTCTCCCATTCTTATTGCGCCGTTACTGCGCTTCCACTACGTTTTCTGGTCTTGTTTCCACTCATTCTACGTCCACACTGCGCTGCCACTGAGACTATGATGCTCGTAATACGTCCAATGCGTTGTTCCCACGTTTGCAATAAGCT